TAACCATTTTACACGATAATATTCTTCTTCTATTAATTTATCGCGAAATTTTAAATAAATTATTTAAACATAATAAATATAGCATAAGAATCTTCGCTTTGATTGATTAATACTCTTATTTTTATGTTAAATTATTTCACGGAGCTTTTCGAAGCTCTTTCGCAAAGAAATATAAAATAAAATAAACTCAGTTTAGATTCCTTAAATACGAAGCCAATTAGCTATTTTGCCTCATCTGGTGTCATCTGAAGGAATTATGGGTTTTGGAACGAACAGAAAGCTTAAGTATTAAAAATGACATTTAAAAATCACCAATTTTGATAGATTTTTCCATCTTGATGGAAATAATTAAAATCAATAAATGATTCTCAAATTTTGGAAATTTTGTTTGTCATACAGTACAGCATTCAATTAAATTTTTAATGAAAAAAAATTTGATTAAAAATGCTTTGACTAACTATCTATGACTATGCTATGACTTCTCTTCATATTGATATTTTGCACTATTTTCCTTGTTAGTAGTATTAACAGGAAAGTGGTTAATGGAAAAGGTGCAGGTTAATGATAACAAAACTTAACCTAACAGTCATAAGTAACTGTTATAAACTTTCAAAATTGAAACCAACACTTTCAAAAATTGAATATTTTTCTCTGAAAAGCGTTTTTATTTTTTCATGTCTTGACACAATATTCGAAAAACAACCTTGAAACTAAATCCTTTTTTTAAAAAATATTTACCTTATATTTACGAAAGTTAAACTAATGTTCATTCAATAAACAAATGCCTTAATTTTAATCAAGAACTCAGTTTGAACTTTGGTAGATATAATAATATACGCTATTCTTTAATAGACATAACTAATAATATTCAACATTTATAATTGATTTTTCTAACTAAGGAATAGCTTGAACACTTGAAAATATTATAACCTTTAACTGTTGAAGATTTTAAAGAGTGTTTGTTGCTTCATTAAATCGTTTATATTTATGGTTGTTTAAATTTACTTCAATTTTTATTGTTTAAAATTTTAACTTCAATTTAGTACTAAGTTGAACCGTATTTTCACGCGATATTGATAAAATTTAACAAATTATTTAATTTGCACATTATTTGATTTATGGAATCTGCAGTATAATTCACAATTAAATTCATTTTTTTAAGAGTGTAACTAATGAAATAAAAAGATTTCGTTTTTAAAAAAGTAAGAAGAAATGCTGTAATTACCTTGGATTACATTGATCAAAAAGTAATTAAAAAAATTTTGTTTGAGGTAAAATCCATTATCGCAACATTTAATTAGATTGCATGATTTTAGTTTTAAAGTAACATATTCGAAATAAAATTAGTATAATATAAATATCTTGAACAATTTAAAATATTACAACCCTATACTGTTGGAAATTTTAAAGAGTGTAGAATTATTAAATCGTTTAAATCAGCGACCTCAATATGGTACAATATGGTTGAACCGTATTTTCCCGCGATATTTTTTTTTCAACTTGAATGGAAACATGATTAAAAATTTAACATGTTATTCAATTTGCGCATTATTTGATTTATAGCATCTATATTATGATTCACAATTAAATTCATTTTTCTAAGATTGTAGTTAACCAAATAAAAATATTTCGATCTAAAAAGACAGAAAGAGAAAATTTTGCAATAACCTTGGATTACAATGATAAAAAAGTGATAAAAAATATTGCTTAAGGCAGAATCCATTTTCTTATCATCTGCGTGACATTTAATTAGATCGCATGAATTTAGTTCTTAGGTAACATATTCGAAATAAAATTAAATATAAATTAAGAGCAATCTAGTATTTGAGGGCAAAATTTTTTCAGAAGGGTAAAGAAATTAGAGTCGCCCTAGATCTACATTCCTTCATATCTGTCGAATTCTTTGGGGAAATCTATATTTAACCCTAGATTTATCAGAAGACTTCTGGTCATTGAGACAAAAAAACGGAAACAAATGTAATCGTGCTTCTATTTCATTTTGTGGACAGAAAGATATAATAGAAACTAATCGAAAACGCGACCTGATTATTTGTATCCGGATCAAATTATATTTGTCAATTATCCGGTCCACATACTTAATAGCGCGTTTTAATAATATTTTTTAGGATTAAAATATTGGAATTATGGTGATCACAGAATAATTTAGCTTCAAATGCTTGGGTGTGTTTTTTATGGGGGAAAGAGGAAATTTTTCAATTGTCATGCCTAACTACTAATTTTTTGCACGACTATTTACATTTGTCAATTTATTTTCTACTTTTCTTTATAAAAATGGTACGAGTCTTATTCTAATTTTATTTATTTGACAGTACAAAATGTAATTTTCTCCCTTAAATTGCAAGTGAAAAAAGTATACCGTTTCTCCTTTCTTTTTTTTTTAGATTAATTTAATGATAAATTAGTAAGTAACGATCTTAAAAGGGGTTAAAAAAAAAGAATTTAAATTTAAAAACAATTGAAGTAGAAGACATCCACTCAACATAACCTAAGAGCTAGTCGAGAGATGGAAGATAATTTTGGTACCTTTGCTTAAATAAAAGACAAATTATTTTATTAAATGGCATAACTAAACGAAATAAAATTTTAAACAAAATGTTATTTAATTTTACAAAATTACTTATTTTTACTGCGTGACATTATTCATCCTACTTTAATCATATATAAATATTAAATTACATTTTTTTCTTTTTAGTCTATAGTTTGTTCAAGATCTAATCCATATTTTCATAGACAATGCTTAAAACAGTACTTAGGCAAGTAGTAAGGGTTTCTATAATCATTATAAAGTTCTTTTCGACTAAGATTCCATCAACTAACAAAAGCAAAATTTTCGATAAAAATAAAAACATTTTTTAAAAAAACGGATCCCAGAAAAATAAAAATCTATTTAACAAAACTAGATCACAGAAACATACTTATATACAAAAGATATTTCTGAAATACAAAGGGAACTTTTATGCTGTGTGGATGGATCTTTATGCTGTAACATTTCCTTTAAAAAAATCAATTTAGAAATAAATTTAAAAAAATGCTAATAATAACAATAAAATTGGACAAACTAAATATTACTCGTATAAGTTTTTTTTATTGATATTCCATCTATTAACAAAAGCAAAATTTTCTATAAAAATAAAAACATTTAAAAAAAACAGATCCCAGAAAAACTTTGGCAAATAAAAAGTTATTTAACAAAGCTAGATCACAGAAACATACTATGTTTTTAAAAACAAAAGATATTTCTGAAATACAAAGGATAGTTTTATGCTGCGTCGATGGACTTTTATGCTGTAGCATTTCCTTTAAAAAAATCAATTTAAAAACAAATTTAAAAAAATACTAATAATAATAATAAAATTGGACAAACTAAACATTATTACTCTCATAAGTTGTTTTTTAATGAGATTCCATCCGTTAACAAAAGAAAAATTTTCAACAAAAAAAAAAACATTTAAAAAAAAACATACCAGAAAAATTTTAGCAAATAAAAAGTTATTTAACAAAATTAGACCACAGAAACATACTATACAAATGTTACAACTGTTTAACGTATACTGTAAATGTTGTTACTGTTTTTAAATACTATGTTTTTAAAAACAAAAAATATTTCTGAAATACAAAGGGAACTTTTATGCTGAGTGGATGAACTTTTATGCTGTAACATTTCTTTAAAAAAATTAATTTAAAAATAAATTTTAAAAAATACAAATAATAACAATAAAATTGGACAAACCAAACATCATTACTATGTAATAAGCTTTGAAACTGTGTAAATTACTGTGAAATAAGTAAAAAAACGCAGCAAAAATATCTTTTAAAGAGGTCAAAAAAATTACGAAATATTTTAATTTACTTCCTAAAATATCTAAATCTCAAATTTTATAGAATCACTACTGAAGCTTTACATCTTTGTGTCTGAAACAGAATTAATAAGTGTTTTTTTTTAATTAATTGAAAGTGTTTTCGAATCTGTAACGGTAAAATTTTAATATTAATCGGCAGATTTCTAAAAATATTTGCATTATTGCGAGTAGTTTTTATCAACATATTTGCGAAATAAATTTTTAGAAATATACCAAATAAGAATTATCCTGCATATTTTTTATAAATTAGAATCTATTTAATAAAACGTCACGCTCTTATTATGTATCAGTTAAGTATCAAAGTAAGATAATTTTCTTTGAGGGCGTTTTAAGTTAAACTAGCCTACAATTAATTGCTTTACGAAAAGACCTGTACCAGAAGCGAGCTCCCCATCCTTTTCACGACACAAAATATACAACTTGGAACCTAAAAGGCTAATTAAGAAATAGAAATACAAAAAAGCCAAATTAATTTCTCAAGGAAATTTATAGTAAAAGGGAATAACTAAAGTAGTTTAAACATTAAAAATAAAAATAATGATAAGAAGAAGAAAAATACAAAACTATTCATTTAGAGTACAGAAAATATCCACTCCATCTCGTCATTTTCAGTAGAAGCGAGAACAATAACAGGCCTTCTTTTTGATGTTTTAACAACGTTTTAAAAAATAAAAAAATGGGGGGGGGGAATTCTTCGCTTTTGTAAAGTTACTAGAATAAGTTCAATAAAGAAAACTCTCTCAACAGCCTGTTGTTGACAAAAGTAGTCATGAAAGCTAAGTCTCCGAGATTTCCATGCCATAAACATGATGGTAGCACTGCGCTACGGCCACTTTTACTTTACAGCACAGCTAGATGAGCTTAACGCCGCCACTAGGAATAAAATTCCTGCTACTTCACAATTACAGCACAATGTTTTAACCCAGATTACTCAGGATAAGTAAAGACATGTACCTCAAAAATTTCATATAAAAAAATAGACGATTCTAGTTTAAAATCCTCTATGTGTGACTTCATGACATTTACGTAGTAGATGAAACAAGTAGCAATATATCTGTGTAGAATATTGTAGTAACAATTCACTAAATCATATTAAAATGTATTTTATTTATATTTTAGATGTATCCTGAAGATTTGAGCATTTACCCCTGGTATACGAAACAGATCAACCCTATCTATTATAAAGACTATTACACTAGAAAAGCTATGCTGTCCATGAATGCAACCAGAGCTCGAGTGAGAAATCTGCTGAACTACCACCACCCTACTAACTACAGACTTCCTGCCCTGAGATTGTCGCCTGACCATCGCTACAACTTGTACAGGAAACGAGCCAGACACCTGTCGTTGGAATGACGTTAGTGTATGGATGTATGCTAACACATCACTTTACTTTAGATGAGACATGATTATCAATGATTAAAACTAGCAGTGTGTTGAAAATAGCATATATTCTAATTAATGAATCTATAAAAAAAAAAGTTTGTTAGCCATATCGATCAAATTCTATTGTGTTCATTAATGTAAAAATGTAAATAAAATATGACTACCTAATATAGAAGTAAAGTTTCACGCTATTTAAAACAATAAAGTATCTTGAGAGTATAACAAGAGAACAATGATCTCCTGAACATTTATTTTAATTAGCAAATAGTGCAGAAATGTTTAAAATTTATGGCATGAAGCTTTATTTTCGACTTATCGGGTCTAAATATTGAAAAAACATTTTATTAATTATACCTAATATTTTGAGTCAGTTACATGCAACCAATTATCAATACTCGTCATTTCATAAAACAAAGATTTAATTTCATGAAAGGAAATAAATTTTAAAAATCTCGACTTCAGGTATGAGTACCAAATGGAATCGACATTATTAATAATAAAACAATAATTAATATAATTAAAAATAATTATCAGGTAAATATTAAATTTATTAAGAGAAAATATGTATTAAATGAAACGTAGCAAATTTATTGACAAAAAGATCAAAAGGAATAAGTTGAAAAAAATGCAACATGCCTAAGTATATTCAGGCTGATTGAATAATTTTTTGCACATTTTCTATTTAGCCAAAAATCATATGGGCTGAATAGAAAATACAGATACTACTCAGTCTTGTGTATTGCGCATTAATGGTGGAATTTATTGTGGATTGTGATTTAGGCAAATTGACACTGTCTGTATATACTAAGTAATATACATTTCTCAACATTTGTATTTAACTAAAAGAACCAGAAAATAATCAATATTTTAAAGAAAAATATTCTGAAATTCAGTTGACAATTTAATGTGGTAAATGTTAAAATTCTGTCAAATCGTTGTTAAAATAAAGATCAAGAGTTGGCCAGAATTGCTCCTCATTTAGACGTAATATCTCACATTTTGAATCCAAGTCAGAAATTCCGTTTGATTCTAAGGTTTCCGTCATTTGGAGTTCTTGACCCAGATATTTCCAAGTGTAGCTCTTTGCATGTTTATTAAAACGCAAATATCGCTTTTGAATATCTTCTAGTGTCTCTTCACTACAAACCTAAAACGAGAAATATAATTCTAAAAGTATTTTTTGGTACATANTCATTAATGTAAAAATGTAAATAAAATATGACTACCTAACATAGAAGTATAGTATAACACATCACTTTACTTTAGATGAGACATGATTATTAATGATTAAAACTAGCAGTGTGTTGAAAATAGCATACCTACTAATTAATGAATCTATAAAAAAGAGAGTTTGTTAGCCATATCGATCAAATTCTATTGTGTTCATTAATGTAAAAATGTAAATAAAATATGACTACCTAATATAGAAGTATAGTATAACACATCACTTTACTTTAGATGAGACATGATTATTAATGATTAAAATTAGCAGTGTGTTGAAAATAGCATACCTACTAATTAATGAATCAATAAAAAAAAAGTTTGTTAGCCATATCGATCAAATTCTATTGTGCTCATTAATGTAAAAATGTAAATAAAATATGACTACCTAATATAGAAGTATAGTATAACACATCACTTTACTTCAGATGAGACATGATTATTAATGATTAAAACTAGCAGTGTGTTGAAAATAGCATACCTTCTAATTAATGAATCTATAAAAAAAAGAGTTTGTTAGCCATATCGATCAAATTCTATTGTGTTCATTAATGTAAAAATGTAAATAAAATATGACTACCTAATATAGAAGTAAAGTTTCACGCTATTTAAAACAATAAAGTATGTTGAGAGTATGACAAGAAAACAATGATCTCCTGAACATTTATTTTAGTTAGCAAATAATGCAGAAATGTTATGGCATGATACTTTATTTTTGATTTATCAGGTGTAAATATTGAAAAAAGCATTTTATCAATTATTCCTAATATTTTGAGTCAGTTAAATGCCACCAAATATCAATACTCGTCATTTCATAAAACAAAGATTTAATTTCTTGAAAGGAAAAAAATTTTAAAAATCTAGACTTCAAGTATGAGTCATCATCATTATTAATAATAACACAATGATTATTACGATGAGAAATCAATAAAGAATAAAAATAATTATCAGGTAAACATTAAATTTATTAAGAGAAAATATGTATTAAATGAAACGTAGCAAATTTATTGACAAAAAGATCAAAAGGAATAAGTTCAAAAAAATTCAACATGCCTAAGTATATTCAGGTTAATTGAATAATTTTTTGCACATTTTCTATTTAGCCAAAAAGCATATGGGCTGAATCGAAAATACTGAATACTACTCCTATTAGTCTAGTGCAGTGATTCTCAACCTTTTTTTTTGTTGCGGCACACTTTTAACGATTCTAAATTTGACGGCACACAATGAAGAAAAAAACATTAAATGTTGTTTACTTACCTATAATACACTGTGTAAAATAGTTTGTGATAATAATTTTGAATGTGAAATAAAATAATATTATCCGCAAAAGCACGTTTATTAAGGGATTAATTATTTCTTTCGACTAATTTTTTTATCAGTTAGTAACAGTTATATTTTTTTACTAGTTGTTAATTGTTGGCTTGTTTTCTGTAGTTATTAACTGTTAGCTTACTGTTATTTTTTGTGATTTCTTGTTAACTAGTTTTTTTGCTAATTATTAGCTTATTTTTTTGTTAGTTATCCTTTGTTAATTTGTTTTTTATACACTGGTGTGCAAAACTTAAGCAACAAGTGGTTTTTCGGTCACAGCTCCCCAACAAAGTATAAGATAGCCATGAAATTGCAGTATAATATGCACGTAATTCAGTTGAAAGAATATTTGCATGCAAATTTTAGAAATAAAACGTCGTAGGTGATGTAAGTGTACATAAACCTTGTAGGTCAGCGCGCGCAGGTCATAGCTGTGATAAAAGGATGAAGAGCACCGTAGTTAAAGACATTCGCTGCAAGTGCAAGTGATTTGTTTTGTGACTTTACTCAAGGAAGAATGATTGGGAAGCTTGAGGAGGGGCGTAGTGTGACCAGTGTCGCCGAAGAGTTCGGGATCAACAAAAGTGTTGTTTCTCGTGCTTGGAATGCCTTTAAAACTACTGGTACAGCTGTTCGGAAGGTTNATTTACTCGTTGACGTACTACTTGATTTGTTGATAATGTTTTTTATTAGTTTTCAGTGGCGATTATTACCACAATTCACAAATTTAATAGAAGTAATCTATTAAATCTATCACTATATTTACCAATATTTTATATTTAAAAAAAATGCAATCGCAATTAAATGAATAAATGAATTTACTTTTAATTTCTTTTTTGTAATATTTTTTGAGCCCATCAAAAGTTTAAGAATGATAAATTAACTAGATTTTAAATGATAATTTTTAAAAAATATTGCATTGATGAAATTTAAAAACTCTCTAATTAATTTTAAATAATATTTATAAAATATATTATACTGATAAATTCAATAATGATAAAATTTATAATAAATATCAATACAATATTAAATAATATTGTATTGATGAAATTTAAATATTCCTTTAATTGATTTCAAAATATATTTTGAAAAAATATTTTTTAAAAATACTGCATTGATAAAATTTATAATGATAAAATTAATATTGAATATCAATACAATGCTAAATAATATTGTAATGATAAAATTAACAATATATATCAATACAATAAAAATATTGTATTGATTAGAAACCATGGCTTCTTGTTAGAGTCGTTATTTTTAGCTTTATACCGAAATAAAACTGTTTTTGTTATTATTATTATTTATTTATTTATACCCTGATCCAATTTGCTAATAGTTTTTCAAATCTTCATAAAATTTCAAGAGCTATAAGAAATGCTTCTTTTTTTCGTAAAATTTTTTAACTTAAATTTTTACATAGACCAGAAAAAATATAAAGCGTGATTATAAAATAACTTAGCCGATTATATAACCCTCTGGAGGGCATAAATTTTGAGTCAATTTTGAAAATTTTGTCCACAAGTTATTACGATTTATAACGCTCAAGAATAATGTTAAAAACGATTCCGTAGCTCCCACGGTTACAACTAAATGACAAAATTTCGAAATTTTCAACAGGATCCATCAGTTTTTTTGATTGAAATATAACAGTTACTGTAAAATACCTAAAAGGGAGTTAGAACGATATGTCCATCATAAGACATTGCAACGCCATGTTTTCGCCAAAGGAAAATTTTAATGTTTTAAAAATATTTGACTTGTCCTTCCTCACATGTTCCTAACATATCATCATATTTTTTTCTCCGATTTCAAATAGTTTTTAATGGCATTCTCTTTTTGTTAGTGATCACAAGAAATGGCGAAGCTTGGCAAAAAAAAGGCTTCGCAATTTTTTGTGCTAAAAATATCAACTCCATTTCAGGTTTTTTACTGTAAAGATTACGTTTCGATCAAAAAATTGGATGTTGCCACCTGAAAATGTGAAATTTTGTCTCTGTAACATAGACCGTGAGAGCTACGCAATCCTTTTTTATAATGACTCTGAGAAACACCATATAGACGCAAAATCCTGCTTTGCGCTTACTTCAAAAGTTACGCTTTTCATAATCATGGTATTTCTCACTCTAATCCAACGGGGCTTAAGTGTAACTCGTCCGATAACATATTTATCATCTTCCCACCAGGGCTCAATGTCATCGTTCATGGGAGGTGATGTTGTTTGTGAGGGAAAACGCTTATAACCAATTCGTTGTAGTCTGTATCTATCAATAAGAGCATTTGCTATATTATTTTGAAATGTTTCATCTTCCAAAAGGTTGTCCTCGATAACTTGCTGAGACGGAATGTCAAAAAATGATCCAAACGGTAAAAAGAAATCAATTTTTCCACTATCAGGATTCACGTGATGCTTCAGCTAAAAAAAATAGAAAAATAAATTTTAATTGTGAAAAAAAGAAATTAATTCTAAAATATTTTAGCATTTTATAGAATATTCTAAATGATACCCGGGTTCCAAGCTATTCCAGAGGAAAATAATATATCAAAGTATTAAAGAAGAATGGATCCAAAATAAGAGTTTCTTGTCCTATAGAACATGTGTCTTGTTGTTGACGTATGCCTGTTTAGACAGATGGGGTGCAATTGTTCTTGTTTTCCAGTGGCGCCATCTATGGCCAAGAATTTGACTTCTGCCACACCATGCCCCACACCCGTTTATAGGGCGAACCCATTCATACATACACAGGTCGTAATCGATCGATCTCCAATACATTACCCCCAGAGGCATTGATTTGTTATGGGAACATGGAAGACTTTTTCCACTCGACAGATTTAACGTGCATCAGTCACTTTCAGTGCTTGTGTGCACACTCGGCTGTGCACACAAGTCGTGCACAGCCGAGTTTATTTACTACTCGGGGAGTCTTCGGCCGGCGGGGTCGAACCCACGAACTCTCGGACATGGGCCCAGCGCCCTACCGACCAGGCTATCCCGGCCCTAACATGTGTATTGATGAAGCTGCTTAAGCGTCAGTAGATTGTGCAGGTTACAGTAGTCGATGTTATCTTGGAAAAAAAAGGCAATTTTTTTTTACAAGGAAAGATGATGCAGGAATATTACTATTATTTTGCAGCTTTTATCTAATATCAACGAATCTTAAAAAGCAATAACACTCATATTGAAATTCATATCAAGTGAACTTAATGTTCCAAAATATATGTTATTTGACTCAATAAGTTTTATAATACTCAATACTCAAAATTTGACTCAATTGTATAAGACTATTATCATCTTAAAATAGATTATTTTAGGTTCTAATTTAATTTATTTGTTAAGAAAAGCAACATCTATCAACATTAAAACAGTTGAAAACCCAACACTTAGGAAAATTATAATAATATAATTAATAAAACTGTACTCATAAATATTTAAAAATTACAAGATACGTGACAAAATACTGAAATAAAAATTGTTCAGTGAAACACTTGTGCTTTCAGAATTGCTGCTTTATCAATCACTCATATTACTCATTTTAAATGCTTTATTTTAAATGTTTTATGCTTTATTAACAATTTAATAATATTTGAAACGCATCAGAATAACAAAGCTAATTACTAAAAATTCAACTACATTGATTAAAAGGCTATCTTTTAGCAGAGTCATATAGACCTGGACGTTGTTTTCCTGCTTCTCCCGGATAAAATTTCCAAAACAATTAAATATTTATTGTTAAGAAGAGCCATTTCAAATCACTGGCAGAAAGACAAAAGTGGTCTAAGATCCACAACGAAGTTTTATTAAACAATGTTTTGTTTCGACTCATTAATCTGATGTAAGGGCCGAAAATACTAGATCCATCTTCATCTGTTATCATTATCAACAACTGTCTCCGAATAGAAGACGGTTTCGAAACATTTTTTACCACTTTCTAAATGACGATTCTTTATGGAAATTATATCGAAAAATATCTGTGTTTGCATAGGAGGGTATAGTTAAATGTACCCTGTTGAAATCAACAGATCGTTTAAATCATTCTCGTGAATGAATATCTATGATGTATATATAATATGAACCATGGGAAAAAGAAATCTGCAATAGAAGAAAATTTTACATTTCGAATCATAGATAGTACTTATCTTATAAGAAAAGGGTGTTAGTGTAATAGACAGCTAGTCAAAATTTCATTTGGCGACACAGCTAAGTTAATTGCTAACCGAGTTTCAAGCCAAAACGTAAATAAATTGTGCATAAAAGTCAGTCCTTTATTCATAAACAGTTCACAAAATTTACCATAAAAAAAAACACAGTTACCTGTCCTTTGTCATTGAAAAAATGAGAAATATCTTTCCCTCCAAAGGTATGAAGAGGAAATGTTCTTGGATCGTCTAGAAAAAAAAAAAAATTCATGAAAGAGAGGTCAATTTGACTATAGGCACGCAAAATACTTCTATATAAAACAACTAAACTTAAACCCTGAGAAAATATTTATGATATAAAATAATAAAAACAATTTCGTTTAATTTGAAACACAGGCGTTTGAGTTGACCCATGAACGCGTGTACCCAACCCTCCATAGTTTTCCAAAACAGAGTTTTGTTAACTTCATTTTCTTTCCTTAAATCTGCTATAAGTTATTTTTTTAGATTGATTTAAACAATTCGAACGTTATCATTCAATGAAATCATAACTAGAGCAGTATTAGTAAATATTTAATTTCATGGGGCGTCATTGACGTGTGGGATGGTGTGTATACATCCCCCTCAATAGTTAGAAATTTAAAAAAGCCCGCTTTATGATTTAAATAAATAAATCCACGAATCATCATCGATTTAAATTTCTTTAAATTTAAAACAAGCTGAGAAATTCAAAAAAAAAAAAATTAATTTACAGATATTTAGTAGCTACAACAATTTTTTTTTTCATAAGCGAGTAATTGTAACTGTGTATCTTAATTTCTTCGCCCTCAAAATTTCTTCACCCGAGATGAACATATATAGAGAGTTCGCCTCCCGGTGAGCTAAACGGGTTCGAATCCCAGCGGTGGCTGGTCGATACGAATTTGACACCCGGATCGCTCCAACACAGTGCTGACATAAAACTATCCTCAGTGGTAGATGGATCATGGGTTAGAGACCCCTTGCGTTAGGTTAACCATGGAAGGTTTTCGTGGTTTTTCTCTTCATGTAACGCAAATGCGCGTTAGTTCCACCACGAAGGTAAATTTCTCTCAATACTTGATCCAGGAGTTCCCTTGTCTTCTGGATTGGGTTTGATATTACAAGGATACAGAGCCATTTTTTAATTCTCGTCAGTTGTTCCAGTCATCAATCCCATCACCATATTTTGATTCCCATCCATTAAACACCCTTATCGTGCATTTCCAGCATTGAATTCGGGAAAAGAGGGAGAAAAAAAACTACGAATTCTAGTTGACGTGAGATTCGAACTCCGCACTTCTTGAATAAGAGAAATACGAGCATTTTAATCTAACTTCGAAAACTTAGAAAACATCCTAAAACTTAGAAGCCACTGAAGTAGACTCAAATTAAAAAACATAGGAGAATTTAGCTCCTCAAATTTATACTACAAAAAAAAAGTGCGGATCGATAGTAAAATTTAATGTCACACTTGGGGTCATTTCTTTACTAGCGAAAACTGAATAGAGCCAAACGCATGAAAAATTAAAAAGTGGTAGAAAAATAGGATTACACATAGTAACAATAATATTCTATTAGTTTTTAATGGAATTACACAAATAAATTACACATATACATTCAAATAAAATTTCCATAAAAGTTAAACAAACAAATTTTAAATAATTTTTCCTACGTTTTAAACGAAGAAAGTTAGTAATTCTATAATTTTTCTAAATCTAAACACAATAACACGAATTTTAACTTAGATATATTGGCATACCTGTACGAGATTGGATTAAAGGCGTTAGATCCAAAACTTTTCCAAAGAGCGTTACCCATAAATCATCGATGGAGTTATGCAAAGAAATCTCTCTCGGAGTAAAATATTTTAATTTAGAATTCATAATTTAAAAAAAAAAAATTTGTGGTTCAAATTCATCTGAATTTTCTTTTTACTAAATTTTGAATAACACACAAAAGTAGATTTGTAAATCAACTGTTTCGCAATATTTTAAGTACATTGTTTAATGCATGGTATTATTGAAACAGTTAAATAAACAATAGAAAAAACAAGCCGATTTTTGAAATTTTAAGTGATTGTTAAATGAATGAAAATGGTTAATTAAATTTAACAAGCACACTTCAACTGACATTAACAGAATTGCTAACTTCCAGAATTTTTAAAAGAAATAAAATATGGAATTTCATGCTTGAATAATGAAGTTATAAGTGAAAGTGAAAATAATTGTAAAAAATACTTCGGAAATAACATTATGAAATTTCTCAATTATCTTTGAAACCTGAGTTCTACGAGTTAAAACTGATGCTCAAAAGTGGTCTTAATCAGTTTCGGAACAACTTTTAATATTTCTGTAAACGCATTTTAAATGGCAACCAATGAACCCATGTAACGCATTTTAAATTAGATAAAAATTGGCTATTTAATTACAAAGACCATCCAAAACGATGTATATCGAATATAGATAAATATTGTTTCAGAATTTCGTTTAATATCAAAAAGATGAAAAACACTGATCCAGAAAAATAAGCCTCTTTTACACAATACATACTGTAATATATTTATACACTGTAATAAATTCAGGATCAGATTACGGTAAAAAAAAGTACCAGTACTTTTTACCGTGAAATACATTTTTACCAGAACATGTTACGGAATGAAAAACGGATGTACTACAATTTTTACAGTAATGATTACTGTAAAATCACTGAATCACTCCAATGAAACAAATATTACTGTAAAAATTACTGTATAATATTTACGGTAAAAGTGATTTTATGGATGATGCTCCCAAAGTGCTGATACTTTATACCGTAATTTTTCACATTGCACCACGTCGTCAAGCTTACTAAGATGTTAAATTGAACCATAGTTCTGTACAAGTTGAAGAGTAAAACATTCATTAAAGATTCATTATAATTCTCTGAAATCATTGTTAAAACATTTAATAACTGGTTTAACTTCATATAGAATAAAGGCTGCCTTAAATTTGCCATATGATTCAAGATTTCTAACATTTTTCCCAATGCACCTTAAAATAAAATTATTATCGATCATTTCATGCATTATATATTTAACTTTTTGTAATAGTAGGAAAATTAATTCACAAAATCAAAAATTGTATTTGAACTTATGATAGCATATAAACTTAATTTAAGCAATTTTCATAAAATACAAAACAATGCATATAGCATGAATTAATCTCTTGAACGTAATAATTCAAATAAAATCGTGAAAACAGCAGGTGCATATTTATCTCAAAAACAGTCGAAGTTGTTATTCCGTGTGAAAAAATGAGCTCGAATCCGTGTGCAATGATCACGATCAATGTTTGACGAAACAAGTAACTTAAGACAATAATGAACACATATTTGAAACTTTCAAGACGAAATTAATCCGATTTGTTAACACAGGATATCTAATATTGTAATCGTTATATTCTAATATAATTTAAATATTGAAGGGAATTTGGTTGTTGTAAAGTGGCAATACACAAGGTATTAAGCGAGTTTATAAGATACAGGGGATTCCTGTAGATAATGAATTTTGTTCAAAACAGCGATCTGTTTTCCTTTGTTGGCTTTTAATTAATATATATATATATA